CTTGGCTTATAAATTTGCTTTTCTCCTTTACACGTGGAAACATTGTTACAACAAGAACAGAGTAACAAATAAGACACTTTCGTTTCATTCATAGACTCATAAAGAATAAGTCTTATTCAACGAGATGCAATATGATATTATTGGCGTTTCACTTTCCGGATAACGGAGCCTGTAGTTTACTTGAGTAATACGCTGTGTTTCGGGAATGTAATACTGAGCAACAGAGAACCGACGAATGTCTCTTTTGGCGGGAGTTTTCTTCACTGGAAAGTTTACAATTTTATTCCACAAGAAGTGGCGTATAACAAGTTTAGCTTCAAATAGACACTACACAACTGTCGAATTCTTATTGGGATAGAGGTTCCCGCCTGCAGAAACCAACTATTCCGGATATAGAAACAGATACATAAATAACTACTCTTTATATCACGTGTATTAAGTTCCAAATAAACTGAAAGATTCAGTGAACGTAGAAACAAATTTTTCAAGAGGTTGATGAGCAATCTTTTTCCTTAAAGACTGCACGAAATCTTCCAGTGTGAATGGGCTCCAGCCTTGAAACTTTCTCCTGTCTTGGAAGGTTTTTTCCGATTCGCTTTGCAATTCCTCTGAACTGCTTGCATTTTCTGGTTTAATTAGATGATTACTTCTTGATGGCTTTGGTTGTCTTTCTTGATGGTCCATTCCTAGATTGTGTTCGTTCATTATAGTGCCCTACATTTTCAATCGCCTCCGTTCTCTGGACTGATTAGCCTTTTCTTGGTCTATATTTTATCGTGATCTTAATAAGGTGAATTTGATTGGCTGACAGGGTTTTCCTCTTTGGTCTTTTTATCGTAGTAAATGTTCTTACATCTGGTCCGTTATTAAGATGTCTTACGGGGGCCGATTAGTCAGGTTTTATCCAATTCATCTTTTGTTGTATTTGTTGAACGCATATCCTATCCAAACTACAGCCTCCTTTGGTTTTGTACTTCCGTTATTTTTTTCGAACGCACAGTTTTGTGTGCGGTTTTGAGCTCTTCAGTACTGGGGTTCCTTTATCCTTGGTAGATGAATTTCTGGGTCATCTTCAATACAATTCTGATAACAAGGCAGGCTGGTGACTTACCGGTCTCATTTCCTTGGGTCTATATGAGCACCAAATGCTTGTGTGTCATAAATTTCGGCTCGATGCAAGCCGACTTAGTCCCTCCCCAGACACGGGCGTTCGACCTCTGCCCGTCGACAAATTCATTTCGAGAACTTGCCTTTTTCCTTTTGTTTTTGTCTGAATTGTTATGCAAACATCATTGTAGTTGTGCCTGTTTCCCAAGTATGGAGACCAGTGAAACTTAATGGGGTTTTTTTATAGCTAGTTTATGTTCACATGCTCGGATGGAATGCGTCCTTCCCTTCTATGCCCTGTGGTATTTGTTTCAAGACTATACCTGGATTTTCACTCATGTTGGAATAAAGCGCGCTATTCTTTAGGCATTAAAAGGCTTTTGCGTTATCGTTGCGGTCAACTACGGTAAGCGTTTTACAGTCTTTTTAGAACTGTTTTTGGCGTCGTCATCCTCATCGTGATCGTCAACATGTGGACGATGTTTCACACTGACGCTTCGTTGCCATACTGCTCTTGCTGCACAAACGTGTCATTCGTTCAATTTGTTGCGTTGGTCGTGCTGGGTTTTCCACTAAAATTTATCATGAAGCCTCCTATCTGATGGAATTTGCGTTTCTTTTGTTTTTCAATCCACGAATTTATTTTTCCGCATTCTGCTTTGATTGGCTAGAAAAACTCATCCAAATGCTGCATTGTTTACGACGTGAGAAAGGAGAAGCTGAGAAAAATGTTGCCTCCAATGGTTCATTTTCCGATTGGAGCAGATCTTATGTGGAGTTGGACATGGTAAAAGTAAGAGGAGACATACTGGTTGAATGACTGTTTTGGTAATTCATAATTTGTATCTTATATGCCTCAAATCCCAAGGGCTCGGTTTGCAATGGCTCATTTGACGGTCTAACATTCAGGACGTCCATGAATGGATATTTTTCTTATGAAACGGTCATCGGGATAGAATTTATTAACCAACTAAATTGTTTGACATTGAATCCGGTGCCTAGTTTGCATTTTTACAATAAAAGAGAGAAACGGGGAATTCATTGTTGCTCAGCGCACAATTGTTCGTAATATTGTCCGCTGAATCCAAAATATGTAGTCAGGCGTAATTTGGGCACATTTCAGAGTTTTTGTTTGGTCCGTGGAACATTTGGTACAGGGTGACTGTCAAATAGTTCAGTGACAGCTGTCCTGACTGAGTCGTGTTCCATACACTGAAAAAACTTTGATACTCTTCAGATTTCAAAGTGTGTTTTTAACTGCTGATAGAATATTGTGACCCAACGAAAACTGTTGCAACCCGTTTCATAGTTCATGTATAAATTTGTGGTTTGCTGTTCCTCATTGGTAGAGATATTATCGCCAGTGCGTACATTCAAAATTCCTTGAGAGATAGCGGAAAATAGCAGAGTTAAAGGTTAACGTTCTCCAATATTCTCTTTTGTTTTCGTTTTGAATATTTCATTATTCTGTCAGGTTCTTAATGATTCTTCTCGTAGGTGCTCGGAATGACGTTGGATGTTCTCTTGGGTACTGTGGGTGGAACGATGTTTTGGAAGAGTTGTTCTTGGGCGTTCATATTAGCCCAAACGGACCAAGATGTTTATTCTGGGTTGGCTGAGTACGTTAGCTTTGCCTCATCAGATCAGAATGCGTTTCCTGTGTTGAGTAGCTGTCCACTGGGGAGGTTCCTTATCCATAAGTTGTTGTTTTCTCCCTTGGTTACCGAGCTTTCCAAAGGAATGTTTGTGTCTCTTGTGGTGAATGCAACTTATTGGCAAAAACAGGTGTTCTTTTTAAACATGCGCGTTCGCAAATCCTTAGTCTTCTGGCATTGTCCCTCGGTTGTACGTATGTGCACCCGTTTTAAAGAGAGTTAGAATTCACGAACTTAGCGATTGTCGTAAAAAATAGTGACACCTTCGTAATTTGAGTGCTGTTATCAGCATTCATTAACGACAGATGTTGTAGTTCACTTTAACTCATAAAAAATTCATTAAAAGCCCGGCAAATACTATGAACGTCAGCAAACTCTCCGATCAAAGAATTCCATATGCTCCGTCCACACAACATCAAGATCCATTAATTCCGTGACGTCACGAGTTCCGGTTTCTCCTCATCACCAGAGAATCACTTCCAAATGAGCGCCAGATGAGCGCCATATGAGCGCCTCCAAATGGTTTGTGACTTGTTTAGTTCGCGTGGATTAGTCGGACATTTCGCCCTTGCTATGCTCTCCAAATAATGGTCAAACGGTAAACAGTTGGATGTTGATGACGGTGAAATTTTTTGGACAACCAATGACTTCGTAATAAACAACTTATGTTTCCCTCGAGTTATACTTTTGACATTTCAACTTTTTCAGATGTGATTTTCAGATTATGGTTGCCTTCATTGGCGCCAAACTTATACGTGTCCCAGTGCATGCACCCAGCGAAGTAGACTCTAGTTCTGTGACGAATTTCAGTTCATATTAGCTAAACACACGGAGGCAGCTGAAAGTGTACTCTCTTATCTATGAACATTATCTAACCAAACCGGTTTGTGAGTTACTGAGAATCGAATCGTCATCTGGTGACAAATTTTCACCATTTAACCAATACCAGGTTGACCTGACGATAAATACTTTAAAATTTTAGCGAACGTTTTTTCGATCATAACAGATTCTGATGCTTTGTTTGATTCGTATCCCATAAAATACAGCTGATCAGTATGAGAACGAATGTGATGCGGGCAATTAGGCAGCTGTCATTTAAGATTTTTTCCTGAAAGTGGGTCAAATCTATGGTGAAAAGCCAACTGTTTTATTCCCACTGGAAATCACCAGCAGTTCACAGCTCGCTCGATTCCGTGAAATTTCAAAGCCTCGAAAATCCTGGCTGAGAGCTGGACCACGAGAGGTTA